CACCCAGATGATGCTCATGATGCGCGCGGGGGTGGGGCTTTGTGATCTCTTGTTGCTCATAGCTGGGACTCTTTTTGCAGTTGGAAGGGCCCAGACGAATAGGACGGAGAAACCATCACCCGGATGATGCTCATGGTGCGTGCTGCCGGATGCTCCAGCAGCAGCGACTTTTGTGATCTCCTGTACATTGAGAGGACTTTGCTGCAGCTGGAAACAAGGCATCACGCAGATGATGATGCTGATGATGCGTGCCCGGGACGAGCCCGAAAGACATCACCCAGATGATGCTCATGATGCACGCTGGGTGGATTGCAGGGCACGGGCTTTGTGATCTCTTGTTGCGCATACGTGGGACTCTTGTCGCAGTTGGAAGGGCCCAGACAAATAGGACGCAGAAACCATCACCCGGATGATGCTCATGGTGCGTGCTGCTGGATGCTCCAGCAACAGGGACTTTTGTGGATCTCCTGTACATTGAGAGGACTTTGCTGATGATGCGTGCCCGGGACGAACCCGAAAGACATCACCCAGATGATGCTCATGATGTGCGCTGGGTGGGTTGCAGGGCACGGGCTTTGTGATCTCTTGTTGCTCATAAGTGGGATGATGCTCACGGCGCGTGCTGCTGGAGCAGGGACTTTTGTGATCTCCTGTACATTGAGAGGACTTTGCTGCAGCTGGAAAAAAAAGAAAAAGGCATCACGCAGATGATGATGATGCTGATGATGCGTGCCCAGGACGAACCCGAAAGACATCACCCAGATGATGCTCATGATGCGTGCTTCCAGTTTTACTGCATTGACAAGATTTGGATGGTTGGAAGGGCCCAGCCAACATTACCCGGATGATGCTCATGATGCGTGCGTTTAGGTGTGCGAAAGCAGCACGAACTGTTGTATGATCTCGCGCGTGCACTGGAAAGGACCAGACGAAAATGCGAATGATGCGTGCTCTTCGGTGAGTGCGGTGGCGATCAAACTACTGATCTCGTGTGCCCGCCGTTTAAACGACACGGCATGGAAGCAGAAATATTCAATCGTGGATGGCTGGATGGCTCAGATGAATCGAGTGAGGAAAGAAGCACCGGACGATGCTCATGCATGCTCCTAGGCGGCTCGAGCAGCACGGATGACATGTTTTCTCATGTGCGGGCATGTGCGGGTTTGTGGCCTGTCACAACAAGAACTGTGCTCTTGGACAAGGGACGAATTTGCGGGTGTATTGCATTTGCGCTCAACAGCTGTCCGCATTTGTGTGCATGGTGGTTCGCGGTTCACGTAGTGACGTAGCGGTATTCAAAATTCCCAAAGGCTTATGTGTCTCGGCGGCTCGTACGTATTCTGACCAGCCATTTCATGCGCCATCCAGTCTTTGCAGCATGCTATGTCTGATTCCATTCGTATGCACAGGTTACCCGCGTACTCAGAACCTTGAAGTCATGCCAAGAAAAGCTTGACACTGGCGGGTGGCGCACTGCTGTTTAGACCTGTGGCACGAAGGACGGAGGATGCCAGCAACATCCTGGTGGCCGATGTTTGGACAATAGAGGGAGAGCATCTTCCCAGCTACATGGTGCAGAAGGGCCACTTGCTTGCCGTCCAGGACCCTGGCGCTAGACTTCCAAGCGTGTCGCTGCCCTTGCCCCTCAGGAGTACGAGGAGGAGCTAGCCAAGGATATCCTGTCCGTGGCCTCCGCCAAAGAGAAGCAGGAGCAGTACCAGGCCTTGGAGGAAGCCCTCCGAGCAACTCAGATGGAGCTTGAGACAGGGACGGGTGTCCCGCAGGACGTCGTGCCTGTGGCATTGCATAGCAGCTAGCATTCTTAGCCTTCATTGGGCAGCATGTTTTGCATCGCCATCCACAGCCTGAATGTTGTTGCGAGGATAGTTCTGCAGAGGCAGCGACCGCCTCTCTTGATCGTGGCTCTTTCATACTCGGATTTCTCATGCTCGCACTTGTGTTCGCTGCTTGGCAGAAGTGTCAAGACTGGTCCTGACTGTGGCGAAGAGCAAGCAATGCAGCGTCATGCAGCTCAGGCGCTCCTTGTTGGGCTGGTGCGGCTGTTGGGGTCAGTGGCAGCACCCACGTCTTCCAAAGCCAAGAAGACAAAGAAAAGTTAGAGCAGTTGAGCGGCTGGAGTGCACGATGGAGTTTGCACCGTTCGGAGCAACCGGGCATTTCCAAGCGGAAAGCCGCATCTCTTGGACCAGAGGATGCTTCAATGAGAGAAACGAGCGTGCCTGGGGCAACTGCTGACATCACCTGAAAACGTGGTTTCACATGATGTAGTTCCAGCATCGGCATGCTGCACGTCACGCCGTCAGGCTGCAAAGAGCCCTGAAGTGTTGGAGCCCTACTGGTGCCGCTGACGACCAGCGCCCAGTCACGTGGTCACTCAGGCCAGAGGAAGTTGTAGCCCCTGAGAAGGCCGGGCACGGTGTCCAAGGCCTGAATTCACCCAAGTTTTTTCGATCAACCAGGCTGTCCCCACCGAGGACGAGATTTCTGAGCCAACGACAGGGCCCCGAAGCTTGCTGAGCAGAATGGCTTTGTCTTTGATGCGGCACTTGGCGGAACTCGCCGCAGCTGTTGTCACTTTTGCTTGTGGCAGAGCACACAACATGCTGACAATGCATTCCCACACCGTCATCATAGGCCCCAGCCGCACGCAGGCCTCCTGAGACGCGGAAAACCTCGCGACCTGATTTTATGCTGCTTAGGTCAGCGCCTCCTCTAGCTACTCGTAGCGAGCAATAAGCCAGCGCAAGATGCCATGGCACAACCTGCGACAGAGGCCGCAGTGTTTCCGCAAGCGCTTCGTGTCCATGACACCCGAGCCTCCGAAAGGCACACCTGGTGGTGACATCACCATCTATCGGAGACTTGCATCCCGAGGAGAGTTGTCCACCCGAGCCTTGGGGAATTGGAGCAGCAATTTCGAAAGGGGCGGGTGGGAAAAACAGTTTGTCTCGCAACATCTCAGGAGGCGCCGGGGCCTTCGCCTTCGTTGTTGGGCGTTTGCACTTTAACTCACGGGAAACGACCATTCAAGCTCGGAGGCTGGTGAAGCAGCCCCTGGTAACCTGGCAGCCCAGTGGGAGTCCCGAGGAGCGCACCCAACCCAGACCCCACCGCGCTTCTTCATGGTCAATGTGAGACTATGGGCTGGGCAGGATCTTTTCTGTCTCGTTGTCCTCCTCGAATCCTGGTTGGCCTGGCTGGTGATCGACATCCCCGGTGCCCAGAGCATCAAGGACAGGGTAGCAGCTGCGGCTTTGCTGAGCCGTTAATTTTGAGCTTTCTGCTGGAAGGACGGTCTTCCTCGATTTGGCTTGGCGGGCAATTGCTGGGCTGTGGAGCATGGCAAGGACACACATCGCTGACATCCCCCCCTCCGTGGTTCGGCCTGCAATTGCGCACTTCAGGAGCTTGCCTCCTATCAGCTTCTCCCCGAGGGAGTCCAGCCATCGGCAGCCCTCGACTCCGAGTACTGCGTGCTGCTCTTCAGCCAGCCAGCCCGCCTTGCAAATCCAAAGGCCGGCTCCGGAAGGGAAGAGGGAGAGGCCGAAGAAAAGCCAAAAAAAAGACGAGCCGTGTGGCCTGGCAGGTGCAACGCGAGGCTTTCTCCCAAGAGAGCTTCGCGGAAGCTGAGGGCCTGGTTCAGATGGCCTCCTCCTCCACTCGGCTCAAGAAGACCCCGCTCGAAGCCCCGAAGCCGCCAGCGACACGCAAGCCGGCTCTCAGCTCGGGAGGCGGAGGGGAAAGGAATACAAAACGCCTCGGAAGCAAAAAGCCTCGGAGCACCATGGATGGAGGCTCCTTGATCATCCCAGCGGATGCACCAAAGACTTTAACAGAAGCCTTGGAGAGGACTTTCTTGGCAAAGCGGGGGTAAGGGACAGCGAAGAAGCATGATGAAGCAGACATAATGTGACATGACGTGACGAAGACTTGGTGAGGACGGCTGCCGAGCGGGGGCAGAAGGGCCTCATCTTGTACGACACGGCCGGGAAAACGGAGGAGCTGACCTTCGCCAATCTGCTGAAGCGTGCACGCTTGGTCGCCGCGGGCCTGGTTCGGTTCAGGACGGCAGGGTTCAGCAGGGGTAGCACCAAGACATGTTTCAGGGTCTCTGCGATTCTCCGTTCTCCCAAAGCCTTCCAAGCCTCAGGATTGGGAAGGCGAGCATGGCCAGCTCACCAACAGAGCATCGGGAAGCGGCGGTTTTGCAGGCCAGAAGAGCTAGGATGCCCTTCTGGATTGCTCGGATCGCTCGGAGTGCTGAAAGCCTGAGGTGCCCCGCATGCCTGAGCATTTCGCATGCTTCTGGGGAGCCCTCTTCTCGGGCACTTGCCCGGTGACCGTTGCAATTCCGCCTGACGCTTGGCCTCTGAAATGTTGCTTCTCCATGGGTCGTTGGAGTTGTGACAGGAAAGGATGGCTCTGTCTCAGGACTACACGGACGGTGCCCATGCTGTGTGCAGCAAGATTCGGAACGTGTGGCATCTTCTGGACGGCGTTGGATCAGGGTTGAAGTTCATTGCGCGCAGCGCGCATAGTTACAGTTCTTTTCGAGCATTGCTTTGGATGTGCGAACCTGGTCAAGATTCTCTCCTATGCAGGATCGACCACCCATCATAACAATGGGATCTCATGTGGAGAAGCTGCAACAACTGGATCTGTCCACAGCCGACGTGGCAGTCACGGAGGTGCCGCTCCTGACCGTGGAAATGTCGCTTTTCTGAAGCATCAGCATGACCAGCAGAATGAGATCGCCGATGAAAGTCTCCAAGAAGCCTCTCTACTAGCTCTAGCTCTCAGGCTGGTCCAGAAAGCTGAGCCGCCCCATCCTTAGTGTCAGGCAAAAATGCAGGAGCCATCGGTACATGCCGCCGCCAGGGGAGCCGAAGCTGCCTCCTGGTCGCCTTCACCCGGAGATGTGGCTTTCTATCAGTACCTCGTAGCAAAAACCCCGGGGAAGGAAGCTTAGCCGTCTGCTGTGGCAGAAACGGAGGCTCAGCAGTGGATCCACTGGAGTGCCAAAGTGCATCCAGATTGCCCACCGAGGCTACAGTATGACATGCATTCTGATTGAGATTCTGTCACGGGAACAGGCCCTGACAGCCTGTCAGGTGTTGTGGCTCATGTCCAAGCAGAAGCCCAATTCTGCGGTTACGGGCCGGACGACATTCACGTGAATTTCCTGCCCTTGGACCACGTGGTGCCCATCCTCACGGTTGCTGAGCGGCAGCTTCGCAGGTTCATCACGCAGCTGTGAGCCATGATGGAAGATAAGGTCCATTGCTGCGATGTTTATCATGGCTGCTGGGAGGTGCAGGCGGAGGTAGGCCCGCAGCGCAGAGAGGTTCGTTTGGCCTGCAAGCAGCGCACCACATCTGGAGGTTTCCTGGGTCGTTTCTCAGCCGCTCCGATGGCTGCAGCTCGTCCACACGCACCGGGCTACTCGGACATGGGCACCGAACTTTGCGCCACTTGTCTGGACCCAGTCAAGGATGCTTCGTCACACCCACCCGCATAACGGCTGCAATCAGGGCGTTTGCCATAGCTCGGAAGAAGGGAGTCAGTGCCTGACATCGCGCTGCAAGATGCAGCGAGCAAGCAAACATGTTCCGAGGCATAGGGCCACGGGAGTCCGAAGAAAATGCCGCGAGTCTCCAGAGCTCAGGTTCAAGCTGGTGGCAGATGCTCTGCGGCAGGAAAAGAAGGAAGCTGAGATGGACCTTTCCTGCTGTCGGTATTGGATGAATGCTGGGGAGCCCGTGCCCTACTCCGCCGGGGAGGTGGAATGAGCACACGGCCACCATGGATTCCTGACTGAGGCAGGTGACGATTCCAGTGTGCGAGGATTTCCTAGAGCAGACCCAGCGCCTCGGCGTGCGCCGCGCAGCGATGCAGCCCTCCTTTGGAATGGCAGAGGCTGCCCTTGCATGGGCAGTCTTGGTGCTCTTGTTTCACAAAGAACCTTCGCTTGGCCGCTTGGAGGCCTGCACCTGCATGACGTACAACAACCGGTTCGAGGCTCGCTATCTTTGCCCGCTCACGTTGCTGTTCCGCGGGCACGGGACTGTGGCTGCTCGTGCTCGTAGGTGTGTGGCGCCAGTCGTTTGGGCCGGCCAACGTTCGTGAACCTCGGCCCACCTGTCCCGGGCATCGAGATCCGCATCGCCGACGATAATGGCGAAACCCTCCCTGAAGAAGAGATCGGCCGCTTTCAAATCCGAGGAGCGGTCTGCACAACTTATAAATTACGGTCTGCTGAGCTAATTTTTCTTGGGTCCGCTCTGAAGGTCCTGTGATCACACCTGGGTATTTGAACAACGAAGCGGCCAACAAAGAGGCCTTTGTGGGAGATGACTGGTTCAACACTGGCGATATCGGATTCATCAAGGAAGGGCAGCTCTATCTGACTGGTCCCATTGCTGCATGAATTTGTACCATAGTGCCATTGTCGTTGGACGCAGAGCAGCGTTCATGTCGTGTGCCTGCTTCGGCTACCCTCGAAAACACATTCTGCACCAGACACGATAAGGCAGAGAAAAGGAAATGATCATAGTGCGTGGGGCGAACTTCTACTGCTACGAGGCGTTCTGCTGGCGCAACAAACGAGGTGTTGTCATATTACGCGCGGCCCTGTAGGTGGAGGACGTCGTGAATGCCATGGAGCATGTGCTGCCCACTTTCACGGCCGCAGTTTCCGCCCATGATCCACTGTCAGGGACCGAAGGCTACGGTGGCAGCACGCAGCGTAGACTCAGACGAATCCTGATGCGCATGACATAAGTGGGAAGTCCATGCCCGCCATGGTTCGCACATTGCCTGCCATTTGGTGAACAGGGCTCGCAATTTTCTTTGTACCGCGGCCTTCTCTGGACGAAGATGATGTGGAGGAGGCGTCCCGTGGTGTTGTGACCATCCACATCTGATGCCCCCCAAAGTCGAAACAAGATAGTTGGACCAGTCATTGTTGAAGCCGTGGTCCAAACTGAACCATATCTTCAAAAAGGCCCTTGGCCCCTTTCAGGTGATTAAGAAGATTCGGGCAAAGCTCGTCCGACACATCGGATTGACTCCTAGCTCGGCCCTAAGCTGTCCTGAGCTTCGAAACATCGGAGCCTCCTGCTAGCCCTTAGTTCCCGGGGTTATAAGATTCAGCATGTGTGGTTCCATCATTTTCTGGCACTTCCTGTGAGGTCATGTTGTGCCTCTTGCTGCCGAAGACTTTCCGAAGACTACCAGCGGGAAGATCCAGCGGTCCAAGCTGAAGAGCCTTGTGCGGCAAGGTTACCTTCACGGGAGTTTACCCCTCCTCGTTACTTTGACCTGTCGCCGAGGCAAGCATTGCAGGACGGCCAGATTGACCAGAGAGCCAAGCCACGAGCAAAAGTTGGCTCACAGCTTTGATGCCTGCATTTGCTGCCGAGCAGGGTTGTTAGCAACATGCGAACATGACAAGGCCCAGCAAGAAGGTGCCAGAGACACCAAAGGCAAGGCAGAGGGATCACTCCCCCGATGTTTCAGCTTTCCAATTTTCACGCACCACCTCCTACGCATGTCAGGAGTTGCCAACAGTCGGTCCAAGCCTTTTCGAGAGCAGTGCTCGAGTAGGCTGGAGGGAGGTGGAGTTGCCTTACCACTGAAAGGTGCGGAACAAAGCCAGCCGGCGGTGGTGTCCCAAGACCAGCTGGTCCCGTGAGGAGTTCAGGTTTAGCATCAGCGAAGATACCTCGCTTCAATCTTGTCGAGGTTAGCGTTCCCACACCCTCCCTGACGCAAGCACGGGCTCCAAACTCAGAATCAACAGAGGGATGCGCACCATGCCTGGCAGCAAGCTGGCAGCCACCAGATGTTTGGAGCAAAGGCCCTGGCTCTTCAGCCCAGGACTCAGACAAGTCTGGCTGGGTCTTGCTTCAAAGTGCCCCAAGCTGTGGAAGTCGGATTGCTCAGGTCTGAGCTGTTGGCAGCCTTCACTGCTGCGAGCTGAGCTTTCACGTAACTCACAAACAGCCATGGGCATATTTGCTCAGGCCGCACGCTTTCAGAAGAAGCTCCACGAGCTGGAAAGAGCCAGAACCCTCAGCTCGGCCCGCTCGGCTCTCGCTCAGAAACTGTCGATTTTTCCTATATGGCTCTCAGGAATCCTCGGGCGTAGCGGCCTCAAACGTTTCGAGAGCATCCTAAGCACTGCCACGAGCCACGTGCCCAAGTGCTTCGCGCCAGGACAAGGATCCATCCTATCGTGCGGCGTGCGGCTTGGGCACCGCCTGTGTGCGAAGCCGCGCCTCGTGCGTCCTTGTACAACCCTCCCCACCGGCCCCACCAAAGGCATTCCGGAAGCTGGTTCGAAAGGAGCAGGGCCAGGTTATTCCGAGGCCGGCCAGATCCCTTGCAGGACCTGCGGGGCTGCTCCCGTGGGCAGACAATTTGACTTGGGCTTGTTTTGGTCGTGGTGGGAGATTTCATGTTCCGAAGAGCCGGCAGGTATGGCTTCGACGCCAGTGAATCAGGAGCCATGGCCACAGACTTTCCAGTGCCAAAGCTTGCTCTGGGACCAAGACTGTTTTGTAATCTGCACAGGTCGAGCAGATGCTTGCAGCTTTCGAGGCATTTAAAGAGGACAGCATGGCAAGTTGAGCTTTTGTCCTTACAGTCGCCCTGTACTGACACCATATCTTCTTTTGGTGCCATGGCAGATTCAGGGTACACCCTTCCAGGATCCCGACATCTACGTCAACTCGATTGCAATCAAGGAAGCACTCGGCCAGACCAAACCATCCAGGCCCAGAATCCCGCACGAAATCGCACGAATATCGTGGTTGCTTACTATTGATATCCTTTACTCATCGTTCATAGTTTTTCAATTATCACCTTAATCCTGCTTATTGAAGATCATAAAGTGCTGACTCTTTTTCCTCTTGGTACATCCAACGTTGCAATGTGTGGTTGCAGTCCTCGCCTCTCCGACAGCTTCCCGCGGAAAGGCCAGCAATCAGAGTGTCACTGTTGTCCATGTATGCCATGATTTCAGGAGTAGAAAGCCCTACTCTTTGATTTGCGCTAAGTCGCCTCCGTGGACTGCAAAGATTTCGCAGAGAGCTCAGCAAGGAGATGCCCGGAAGAAGCTAGACTTCGGGTTGCGTACAGCTTCAGGTCATCCAGCTACTTCGCGCCCAGCTCGTTGCATTCAGCCACCCTGCCTTCCAGAAGTCCATCAGGGCGCTCAAGCTCAAAGCCCGGCCTGGACTTGTTTGAGCCGGGTCGTTTCCTTGCATCGGAGCTCGTATGAGCTTTGGGAGCTCCCGCTGTCCATCTGCGCCTGCCAGGCTGCCGATTCTGAAGAGGGCTTCTACCACCTGGCAGGCATTGGGACTTTTAGCACTGAACATCGGCGGGGATGCATCGTTGCGAAGGTCGGGCCCAGCTGGCCTTGACTGTCCAGCGGCTGATCCTGCCCAGGCATGCAGTCCAGTTCCAGTAGCATGCAACCGCGCAATGCTGATCCAGAAGGTTTGGATTTGAAGCAACCCGAGAAGGCCCGTGCCCTCGTTTGGAGTGCGGCAGGATGATTGCCATTGTTCCCGCTGAAGGTGTTCAATCAATGATCATGCACTGCGCCCCATATGCCAATGAACCAGAGGCAACGATTGAATTTGGGGAGAGTTCGCAATCGGAAGCAAGTTGGTCTGGTGTCTGGGGTTAGGTCGCTATCCTCTTCGATGGAGTCAACACCAGGACGGAACGGTCGAAGCTCCGAGCCTGTGGGGCCAAAAGCTGGATGTTCTGGGAGGCTGGGCATGACCCACGCAGCCTGCCGCCGCTTCCGGGACATGGCCCGGAGCAGGGCGCTCAGCGGCGCCCCAAAGAATTTCATCATAACAGCTGCTAGCGGTATCTGGTGAGGCCTTGCGGCATCGAGGCTCAGCCTTTGACTTACAAGCAGGACCGGACCACGATGCCTTGAACTGGCAGGCCTCAAGCGTGATTTTTGGTAGCCTGGGCCTCAGGGAGCCTCAGAGCACAGCCGAAAGGTGCTATTGCCTAAGGTTGTGCATCGACGAGGGACACTCCCAGCCGAAGGCCTCGAGCCCTGACGATCTCGCATTCTGGTCAAGCTGCTTCGAGCGGAAGGCTGCAAGTGCTCTGAGCACCATCTCAGGGGGCTTGCCCCCACCCAGAGCCGTTTGAAGTGTTTGGTGCCAAGGGGGTCCGCGGATGTTGTGTGTGTGTGTGGAGCTGTATATGAGATTGGTGGACAAGTTACTAGTTCCTTTGCACGCAGCTGCGGAAGTGTATGCCTGCATGACCATGCGCTACAGGTCACTGTCGTGCTGTTGTGTGCCACTGTCGTAGTTGATCTTTCTCCCTGCGTGGTGATCGCCATTTCCCTGCCAGATGTTGCTTGTGTCTATGCCCGTTTTGGTCGTCGTCCTTCCATCCCATTGGTGGGAATGTTCTATGTCTATGCCTGACAAAACTTTCGGTCCAAAATCAGTGTCATCGTAGCCATAGTCGTAGCATTACATGTCGTCGGCCTCCTCGCCCTCGTCGTGGAAGAAGTGGTGGTAGCAGTCGTTGTAGTAGTAGCAGCAGCAGGAGCAGTAGAGGTAGTCGTCGTCGTCTCCTTCATCCCCCCAGTGCTGAGTTGCATCTCAAGGAACACGGAGGCTGAAACAGCAGCATCCAGCATTGCGTGCACATCTTGTGGCTTGTGTGGAGCTGTGTAAAGCAAGGAAACGGAACAAGACCTCGTACCTGACCGAACACCAACCACCACAAGGCATCTTGCCCGTCTGTCGCTGTGGCGGTGGTGATGGTGCTGGTGGTGGTGGTGGGCAGTGGTAAAGACACGTACCAAACTGTGCGACATTCTTGGTTCTGCTATGCTGGCTTTGTCACTTGTTGTGGTGTGTTCCTGTCTTGCCGAGGCTTGTGCCTTTTGCTGCGGGCCACTTGGATTGCTGAGTGGTCGTCAGAGGCACTGAGTTAATTGTCAGATCGGCCTCTTCGACCGAGAAGACGCAGTCTTTCTGTCTTATACTCGTTGTTTTGTCGATCCCCTTATCGACTGGACTGGCATGACTGCGGCTGTTCGCAGATTTCTAACGAGGTGCAAAGTGATGTCACTCTCCTGCTGTTTGGGGTAAGGCCATGGCGTTTTGCACCTTCGGTGCAGTATCAACGCACGAGTTAGGTTTGCAAGATGAAGCCGGAAGCGAGCCGCTGAATATCCGGGATTGTGACATCATGCGGCTGCCTAAAGAATTCTAAAGCTGTCGGAGCAATGCTCGGAAGCACGTGCTCAGTACCAGTGCCATCACCAACATAGCACAGCCTTAAGATCCTTAAGCCTCTACGGCCTCTACGGCGCTTCCGGCTCGTCCTTCTACAGCTGTTTCAGCGCTCCTTCGTAGATCCCGAGACTTGCCCTCGCACAGTCTCCACGCTAGGCCGATTTAAGTGTCACAACTGGGAAACCCTGTGCCGTCTGTTCCCTTTAGGCGTTCGCAGCTGTCAGTGACCAGTAGACATGCCGAGCAGGCACAGATCAGTGTGACCACGACGTTTTGGCGCGGACGATTTCAATCAGCGGATGCTGTCCCGTGCCCATCACCCGTTGCCTGGAGGGCACACAGGGAACACTCACGTTCAGGCTAATTAGACAGCGACAACCTCTAAGCACTCCAAGCTTCCAAAAGCGGTTCAGACGATGTTGGATGGTTAACATGCTGGCGAAGATGTCCAGTGAACTGCCCACGCCACGTCGGCGGATGCCGCACACAGGATGGAACAGTCCTGTAGAATACGGCTTCTGTACAGACTTTCACAAAGGACAAGCCTTGGACAGCGTGTTTTGAACGCAGGAGGAGCCACAAGGCTGCTGGCTAACAATGCTACTCATAAGTATGCTGAGTCTACCGTTGATAATGTTTTCTGGCTGCGGCTAACTCCGTCAACAATGGTGCACAGCTGTCCGGACCTGGATGTCACAGCTTGTCTTCCGGGCCACGTGTTCCGCAGGCATGATTTGACCAGGCAGCCACAGTCATTTGAAGGTGCTGGAATTCATATTGACAAGCGCCGATGGCGCCAGCTTGTCGGGCTGGCTCCGAGCACTGTTGAATTGGTTTGGTTGCGACCTCAGTTTTAGGCTTTAGGCACAGCGTTGCTTCTCAGAGTTGCCGATGCAAGTGTTTTCACTTTAGACAGGAAGAGAGATCCGCTAGGCGCTTGCAGACATGAGTCTCATTCTAGATCGTTTTGACTTTCGGGATCGAGAGAGAAAAAGCTTCGATGCATCAGGTGCAATAAGGGTGGCGGCTTGTGAAGCTTTGCAAAGCATAGGGTACGAGTTGCCGAGGGAAGGCTGCGGCTGCGGTTTGTCGGCTCGCGCAGACGGGGTGATGACGGCACAAGGCCATTAGGGGATTTCCATTGCAAAGAAAGAGACGCTTGGCCAACAAACATTGACACATCATGGGATCCCCAGCACGCCGGTAGTCTTGCAAAGTGGTCAAGACTGATAAAAGCAGCTTCGATCTTCAAACCAATTCCAGTCCCAAAGCTGTTCAGCAGCTGCACCAGTTTACTTGCCGACTAGCACGAATGGCTGTCACCGAAAGCATGCAGCGCTTGACATGTTCAGTCAGCACCTTGGCGGCATCCGAGCGCGAAACCACGTTTAACGCTCCGCTGGGAGCGTCGCCGGCCACACCTAAAGTGCTACTCAGGCTATCCAGCACGAACTCCGTGGAAATCGATCTGCTCAGCCAGGAGGAGGTCAATGATAGCCGAGACGACCTTCCCGCATCCAACTCCAAGACCCCTGCGCCCTGCGACGTCACAGTCGAAAGCGAGGAGGATGCCGTCCTGCTCACTCCACAGAAGCCTGTGAGGGCAAGAAAACATCCCTCTTCGCCTGCGAAGATCTGGTCTTTTGCGAGAAGGTCCCTGGGCAGACGGCGCCCCAGTAAACACTTCGCAAGCATGGATATCAATCGTGTAGTGGCAAATGTGTGTTTCCCCCAGCAGTTTGGTACACAGATTGGGTTTTGACGAAGTAAAGAGAATTGTTGAGGGTCGCCCCGGCTCCCGCTGTGGTACGGCGCATCCCGGAGAGCCGAACGCAGTGAACATTTGCAATTCTTCTGGGTCGCCTCGAGCTCGAAAAACTTTCCAAATCCCGAGAGCCCTTGGGATAAAGCATGTGGGCCCCGTTCTTGCCCAGGAGGGGTGAAGCAATTAAAGATTGGTACGAGTACCACATGTAGTACTCGGACTAATAGTAGCAGCAGTAGCAGTAGTCGCAGCAGCAGCAGTTGTTGCTGTTGTTGTTGCGCAGGAGGAGGAGAAGGAGGAGGACTGCCAACTCCCACCCCGGACACGGCAGCCCCGGTACGGGAACAGTTGTCATGACATTCCCAGCCAAGGACATGTCGACAGCTCAGGTTGGGTAGGCCTGGTGCTCAAAAGGGTTGCACCGTGGTAGTTGCGATGCAGCCGCTGAGTCGCGCAAGCGAATATTTTAACCTTTGTGCATAGACTGGACACGGCTCCTGTCCGGGTTGTTCAAGTTTCAGTAAGGCACTTCGTAAAGTCCACATGGCGATCACTTTTGGATGGTGCTTCGCCGAATTATCCTCGAGTGTTGCCATGGCCCCCAGGCTCCCGCCCGACTGAAGCCGCTGAAGCCTGGGTCTTTCCAGCATGTCCTGGTGGACGACAGTCGGCTGTCTCTTCCCATGCTGGGCCGGAATGCGAGCTGGTCGAGAACAGGAACGACCTGGAGGCCTCAGATTTGAGCATTAGTTATGTTATCAGTTGCGTCCCACCACAACTTGGATCCGGCAAAGCCGCCAAGAAGCGTCCAAGAATACTTCTAGTGAGGTTCCACCACGCATTATACTTCTTCGGGACGGTTCAGCGTCGGGTCGGCTGTTGTGACATGCAGAACAATGGTCTCGCCGAACTCTGTTGTTCTTCATGTTGCGGTGGTGGGAGTGCGATTGCGGCGGCCGCGGGCGGTGGTGGGGCTGGGGTTGGTGTTGGTGTTAGTGGTGGCAGCGGTGCTTGGTGGGCTTGACACATTGAGTTGCGGCTGCTGGGCTCGGCTATGAGGACGACGACGATGGCAACGAAGCTCGCGTGGTGAGCTTCCGGCGCAGTTGCATGCTCCCCGACGATGTAGGCACAGCTGCACTCCACGAACAAAGAAGAGTCCAACTTCGAAAGTTGCTTGCAGGCATTGAACACCCGGACCCCCTTTGCGAGCCACAAGCGATCCGTGACACGAAGCCAGAACCCTTCACGGGGCAGGACATCGGATCAGTTCAAGGTTTCGTCTGATTCAAGTTGCCTGTCCCTCGATGCCCAGGACTCGATCCGCATTCCCCTCCGCCTCTTGGAGGATGGAAAGCTTTCATCGCCGCAGCTCGAGGAGCACCGACCAAAAACCATTTCTTCAGCAGTGCCCTGATCGGCCTTCAGGCCGTGGGTCTGGCGGCACGTCGTTTTCAGCAGCGCCTGCCATCTGGAGCTCGTTGCGGATTCCTCCTGGGAGACGGCACTGGTTGCGGCAAAGGTCGGGGAAGCGATTCGTAGCTGAGGGGGAGGAATGTCGGTGCGGAGCAGAAGACGTGATACAGGTCGCTGCATCGCAGCCCTCATCTTGGACCAATGGAACAGCGGCAGTCGTCGTCACGTGTGCATTTCATGCAAAATAAAAGTCAGCTTCCCAGTTCTCTTTCATCCTCGAGTCTTCAGGTGGCTTTCAGCGACCGCGGACCTGTACCAGGATGCCATACGGGATTTGCAGGATCTGAAGACTGGAATTCCAGCTGCTTGGCTCTCACGGATTCGATTGCGAGGCTCTGATCATTGCAGCTGTTCGCAGTAAGCTGCCATCCTAGTCTCTTCTGGTCGTTGTTGTTGCAGATGCTAAGATTCCGGGTTGCCCCTCGTCGTAGCGATAGTGCCCCGCTTGAGGTATGCAATTTGGCCCGTGTCCGCACGCGTGGCGAGCTCGATGCTGCTCACAGTGCAGATCCAGAACTTGCCAAGCTCGGCAAGAACAAGGACATCTTTCAGCAAAGCATTGCGTCGGTCGGACTGGCTGGTTTCTGTTCTTGAAAAAAGAGAGTGTCTTCAGTTGATCCTGCAACCAGGGCCGCCATGAAATGTCAGAAAATGCACGTCAGCTGAGCAGGGTCCTTTGAGAGCAGAGAACAAGGCATCAAACCCGCAACTCTGGAGTTCGACAGAAAATTCAGCAAACACATCGGGAACAGGCTTGGGTGTTTCTTCCTGGTTTCTGTTATTTTCTGACTTGTGGCAAGCTCCTCCCAAGCTGTTCTGAGCCTGAGTTGTGGCTCACACTGTTATGAGAGAGACTCTCCTGTGCTCGGCCCTAGCATCGTCAGTGAGATTCCTGCTTGAGTGGGGTATGTCTTTGCTGCGGAATGCACACTCTCGTTCTCTCGGGTGGGAAATCTTGTCTTGTTCGGTTGATCCTGGTCCTTCCTCTTCGATCTCAGCCTGTGAATATGCAGTTGTTACAGTTGCCTAGTGCTTGATTTCGGCGTCTCTTGTTGCAGTGAACACGGCATAGCAGTGCTAGGCATGTATTCCGCAGTCTTGTACTTAGTGCAGATACTCGCTAGTATGCACAGAATGCATGATGATTTGTAACTCAAGTAGGTTATATGCTCTGACGCATTTTGTGAGCGTCATCCATCCTATGTGGATTCAGCTTAATGTTGGGGCACTTTTCGGGCGCATGTGACCCGTGCAGGACGGAGTCTTGTTCCTCACCTATGCCCTTCTGGTATCCTCAGGACAGATGTGCAGCAAATGTGAGCCTGCAGCCGTAACCCATGTCAAGAACAAAGCGTCCGCTAGTATCAGAGACGTGAGTGCGACAGGTGGGTCATCCAGCAAAAAGTCCAACATCTCTCGCTTCCAGCAGCTTCTGGCCTGGCTTTGCCACCGAGGACCAAGAGGAAGCGGGCTCATCGTTCTTGACGAAGCCCACAAAGCCAAAAATCTGGATGCCGGCTCCCGGTGCGCTGCACTGGTAGAGGAGCTGCAAGCTGCCTGCTCAGACTGCCCGGTGCTCTACGCGACAGCTACCGGTGCCACTGAAGTCTCCCACATGCAGTACATGGTGAGACTTGGACTCTGGGGAGAGCAAGGACTCCCTGGGAAGTCCGTGCAGCCTCCTTTCTCCACCTTCGCATCTTTCAAGAAGGTCGTCGAGAAAGGCGGCGTCACAGCCATGGAGCTTGTGGCGGTGCAGTTGCGGCTCTTGGGTTCCATCTCTTGTCGGTCGCTATCATACAACGGCACCAAGTTTGAGCTCTGCACGGCTGCACTCAGCACCACCGAAATCGAGCAGAAGCTTAGCTGATTCAGACGTGTGTTCTTCTCTCTCCCGCCCTCTCCCGCTCTCTCCCTCACGCTCCCTCTCTCTCTCTCTCTCTCTCGTTCCCTGCGCGTTTGCATCGCAACAGCGATGCGGCCTCGTCGGTTGCCTCTCTGCTGTGGTAGTAGTATGTCGGAGTTCTCGAAGTACGATTTCACTGAGCAGGTATGATGCTGCAGTGGACCTGTGGTGCGACCTCCGGAAGCACATAGAGTTGCTCATCGACATGGACATGTTCAATTCCGAGAATACAAGACGGGTCGCGGAGTCCCAGTTCTGGGCAGCCCAACAGCGTCCCTTGGCATGGAGATGCATGGTAGAGGCGCCCTTCCGTTGCTGTCAGACATGACAGTCGCACAGGTTTCTTCAAAGGCTTGCTGATTGCTGCCAAAGTGGCGAAGGCAGTCGAACTGGCCCACGAGGCGCGAACCCTTGAGAGAACTTTGACACTTGCTAGAGTTCCTTGAACTGCAGGCGCGTCAAGCCGGAGAAGCCGTGGTGTTGTCTTTGTGGACTACAAACGAGGCCGCCATCAGCAGGCAGCTTTCTGTCGAAGATCCGGATGCTTCTGTTGTTCCCTGGGTCCCTCCATTCTAAGCATCGCCTCACGGAGGCACCTGCAGGGGGCTGGCGGTGACTCGTTTGCTTCGGGGCCTGAGCTGACCTTCGAGCAGCCTACCACCCAGCAACCAGAGTCGGAGTGTCGGAAATCCAAACAGCCAGCCCTCAAAGAACGACGCGAGGTTTATGACCCATCTTCCCACAGGCAGGGGTGGCCAGGACAGTGGGCATATTCTAAGTGAACGCATTCCGACATTGGCATGTCGTATCAGGAGATGTCTTGGGCCGTCGAGGCAGTGGCCGGCATCCTGAAGCGACTGAAGCAGCTGAAGCTGTCACTTTGGATGCAAGGACTTCAGGAATTCTTGGGTTTCACGTTGCCGTGTCGAGCGCAAGTTCCTGCTACTTTCTTCTGGCACGCTTGGTCATAGTCACCGCTCTGTAAGGCCGCCGAACCCCCTTGATGAGTTGATTGATCGCCTGGGCGGAGCATCCCGCGTTGCTGAAATGTCAGGACGCTCCCAAAGAAGCTGCAAGGACAAGGGTTTCGGGAAGCTTGCAGGTTTGGGCAGTGATTTGTGAGTAGATTGGAGGTGGCTTGATCCGAGGATCCCGCTACCGGCGAGGTGAAGCGGCAGCTCCGTCAAGCAAACGCAGGCCGACGCGCACAATCACAAGGCGTTGCTGGCATAGAGTCCGTGAACGTGGCCGAACAGCGGGCCTTTCAGACGGGCAAGAAGCTCTTCGCCATCATCACGGAAGCCGCCTCTGCTGGCATATCTCTTCACTGCGATCGCCGTGAATTGAGGGAAGGCGCCCAACACCCAGTTCCAGTCGGCCGACATACGGCTGGAACGCGAAGAAACATGATCGGTTCAGTCAGTGCTTTGCAGAGCTCAGATGTAGGCGCGGCAGCGCCGAAGCCCAGACGAATGATCTGCCTCGAGCTGCCTTGGGCTGCGGACAAGGCAGTGCAAATGGATCCAGAAGTAGGTTGCATTGAGGCCATCGCGCCTGAATCAAAGCCACTGCAGGCCATCAACTAATGTTGGAGCCAAAAGCTACCAGCTACCATTTCAACTGGCAGCTGCCTGTCTGTAACGTTCTGTCGCCCACGTGGTTTAAGGCGGTGCAGCAACTGGGGCGTGTTCATCGATCGAACCAGTTGCACCCACCCAAATTCACCTGCATCGATGCTCGGCATTATCAGAGGAGGCTTGTCACTCGCGATGGTCGTTTCCCAGTAGTGCCACGAGCCGAAGGTCACTGACCTGGCCGGCGAAGCGCGCTTTGTCTCTGCTGTTGCCAAGCGCCTTTCGCATCTCGATTGGCTTTCCCAGCAGCCCAACAGCTAAGGCCCGTAGAGCGCCTCACTTGGATCCTCCAAGCAAGAGTTCCAAGTCGTGGGTAATCCTGACGGGGTTCAACGCCGCTACACACAAGAGCCAGATAAGCAACAGTCATGATCAGGAGGAGAAGGAGGAGGACACCAATGGACAGGATTCAGTTTGTTTGGCGGGACATGTTGTTGTATTTGCACGACTCTATTGTTACGACGGGCACATGTGGAGGCTGTAGGCTCTAGTAGGCCGTAGGCTCAACACATTCCATACGAGCGCGAAGCCAATGAGTTCAGGTTTCCGGTTATCACAGTCTATCATGTCTCCGCTCCAGTCCTTCAACTCGGTATCACTCGATCAGTCTGAAGTTTGAAGTATCACCGTCTTGGAAGTCCAGCACTGACAACTGAAGCAAAGCCTTGACAATCCCGACAACAAGGACTTGAAAGGCGCGCATAGATGCGCTCACTCGGACAATCTCCATCATGTTTGCTCTGAGTCGTAAGATAACGCTCAGGGCTTGAACCTTGCCCTGACAAGTCTGGTGCGAGCGCGTGCAGCTGGTTTGTACCAGTGGTTGCGGCCGCAGCAACCAAAAAAGGCACTAGTGGCTAGCGGCAATTTCGAGCTTGTAGTTTCCATGGAGTCAACCAAGACATCATGCTTCATGCGCCCCGTTGTTTTGATAAATGCATGGTTCTGATTGCCAATCACCCACTAACACTATACATCCAGGCTCCACCCGCAAAGACATCCTTCTTCATTCAGTCCGGCCCACCCGGCTCCGACGTGTACGGTTCAGACATCCGTTATCTTCTAGAAAGCGCTGCTGTTATCTGTCTGCATATATTGGATTCTACGTGCTTTGCACTTGGTGTCCCAAGGCAACTTGGGGCTATGACCAAAGGAGATCGCCGTGCAGGCGCAGAAGCCGGGTAAACTGGTAGTCAGCTCCTCCTCAGATGCTGAGGCTTCGGAGCTCGGGGAGACGCCTTCGGCTTTGGACGTTTGGATCTCATGAGCAGTAAGTACGGAGCTGCCGGCCTGGGCAAGGCCACGCGACAACTGCGAAAGCACCGGGACATGCGCACGCGCCCGCGCGCACGCGTGATGTGCCTGTGCTCTAGCAGGTCATGGCCGACCTCCTCACAGGAAAGCCATCGATACCCTTCAATCTGATCAGTTGGCCCCAGGGCCGCTTGGAATTGAAAGGTCTTCTTCTGAAAGGGAACCCTTTTTGGAGACTGCCAGCTTGGCCCAGGATGGGAGGAATTCGTGGAACATGCGCGGACAGCCCTCGAAGTTCAGAAGCTTCCCATGCAAGGCAGCTCGGCCGAGCTGGCCCTTGTGGTGCATGCACCGGTGGCCCTGACGAGGTAGAGATTACCAGGATCCCAAGACGCTCAAGAAGTTCTTGAACCGGGCACTGGGGATGAAGTGCAGAACCCAGGACTTGCCCAGTCTTTGCTTTCGCATCACGCCTGCTGTGGAGACTGCCGTAGGAGGGCTTCTTCGAACTCCTCTCGGCCCACGTGGCCAAGCTGGAGGAAGCTGATCGGCGAGACGGCCTTCTCGACACCGGTGTTGTGCACCCCGCTCAGCGCTGGATCTGCGAGCCAGGACCTCAGGGCTTTCGGGTTCTTCCCCGCACCAGGTCACTGAACCACGGTGGCCGCTGGGGACGACTTCAGAGGGTGTCGGAATTGAAGACGGAGGTGCTGGAAGGCCTTCTCCGTGATTTGTCGCAGGGTCGACATGGCCCTTGGCAGCAGTTTGTCTCGCAAGACGGTCTGCGTGAAGGTGTGGGGCTTGAGCTGCGTCATTTGCGGCTCGAGCGTGGCATGTCCTTCGAGATGGCAGAGCGCCTTCTTCGCCAGGCGCCCGAAGACGAGGAGCTCTTGGCCTTTTTTCCGAATCCGACTCGACGGGGTTTTTCCGCCTGGCAAGGAGCGCGCTCAGGGCTTCTACCTGCGTCCCTTGGAGACCGCGGCATCTGAAGCATTGCTCGTGCTGCGGCGAAGGGCCGCGCGTGACAGCGCTGCATGCTACACGCCACGCAGAAGCAACCAGCCACGCCGTTGATGCCGTACCTTGCGAACAGATGTGCATACCGTCAGGCTGATCTACCCGCACGACAGCCCCAAGAATCAGCTGGACGGTCACCTTTGCACACTGGCACGGCTTCGATCCAGCAGCCTCCTTGCAGTCACAAAGGAGAAAGCCCAGGAACCTTGGGAACGGCAGCACAAGGATTCAGCGGCACAGTGCATCCACCGACAACGGAAGCACCACTGTGGAAACAGCTGCTTGGATGCACCCGAGTGTACGGGTAAGTCCTTGCCGAATGCTCTCCCAACACAGAGAGGTGAGTGCAGAGCTGGTTTGCGGAATTTGGTGGAGACCATGCTTACCGGACAAATCCTGGTGCACTGGGACTTTTTGTGCTCCCTACTTGGTGAGAAGGGTACTTCCTTGATGAGATGTGAGTTGACAAACAACACCGTGCTCATTGGCCTGATGATCCCACGTCACAGCTTGGCCCCATGTCTTGATAAAAAGGACATGTGTAAACTGCATTTCTGTGCGCCTGAAAGTGTCCAAGCTGCCGAGCGCCATGCCTTTCGCCCTTTGCGAGGCCATGGTTCGGAAGACGGTGCTCGAACGCGCGTCTTGCGACGCGGAGCCTCAGGTGGAGAAGCACTGGGAGAAGCTGGAGCCAAAGGTTCCCAAGATTTCGGTGGATCTTCGATCCTTGCCTGGAGACCGCTTCACAACTTATGGTCAGAGTGGGCACAGAGTTCACACACCCTGACGCCCGTTCTTGAGGCCACTGCTCAGACTCCTCCGACGACGAAGTCGCGATGCAGGAGGTGATATCCATCCCAGGCCATCAGTCACCGCCACCAGACCTTAAAGCTGCAACTGCCTTAAGGATCCTAAGCTATGGGAGTTATGATAGATTGTGGTGCCGCCGTGCAGCTATGCAGTGGCCACACGAAGCTTGCATTGAGGACAGATGTAGACAGTCGACCGGCAAAGCGACATCGCACAATGATCGTGGCCAGCGATGACGAGTAGGAGTACTGGAGACTTGATGTGTTTGCTTTCGCCAAGTATGTCGCAGAGGTTCCTGTGCGATTGAGCAAGGAAGCACAGTCGTTGGGAGCTCGTGGAAAAGGACATTCGATCGTGGTGTTTGTTTGACGCTTGCACAGACGGATCGAGCAAGCTGCGCCAGCTCTTTAAGAGTGTTTGCTCTCGGTCTCACGCCGATTTCTCTACATCCCAAGGAGAGAGCAACGAGTGCCCGAGAAAAGTTTGTTCTTGCTCGCTTCCACATGTTTTGAAAGTTCGTGACCGACCGCTCTTGAGGCGCTGAAGTTTTGAGGCTCAGCGTGATGTGGAAACAAGCAGAGAACCCCTTGCCGAAATTGGATATCATGTTTGCAGATCGAACCTTCAGACCACGGTCAGTGGCACTCATCGTCGACTGGCAGATAACTGACGCGCACGCGGGGTTAGATGCCCAGCTATGGGCCCAGCACTAACACTACCGTAGCCGTATCGCGCAAGTGGCCGTCATGTTTGGTCAGACGTGTCCTCCGCCACCTACAGCCTGCACCTCAGAAACTGTGGAGGGCCCACAGCCGCTGAAGGTTCGGTCACGGGGTCAAGCACAGAATTTTTACAGACATGGAAGTTTGAGGGCATTGCTTCAACGAGTCGAATCTTGGGCTCAACGCATCGCGGCCGACTGGCTGTTGCTTCATCAAGCTTTGTTTCTCGGATATCACAATCTCGCAGCGGGAGGGTTGATCAGTGGATCGAGCAGACCGGAGCATTACGCGGTGCGATTTAAGTTTCCCCCGACGGGATTCAGGAGCGCGGCTGAAGTCTTTCCCCATCCACTGGTGCGATTCAGAGACATGCCCAAGCGCGAATCGTCACCGCATATGTTCGCAGCATTTCGTGCGGCCAGTTTTCAATTGTGTTTTCCGCCATCTACTGGCGGGGTTCAACTGGGATTCGATGGGATTCATGAGAGCTGCCAAATTGCTTGCCACATGCACTGGCGGGAACATGACCAACATGTTCCCCCAAATACTGGCGGCATGCAGACGAAATCACGCAGCACCACACCCACACCGCCAATCTTTTCAAGAGGGTTGTCAGTTCGAGATGCAGACGGCGCCAATGTATTGGAATGTACACTACGATCTCGCTTCCCGGAAGTCGCGGACGTGCCGGGATCACCGAATGAATGTCAATTCAGTCGTGCTTACCGACGGAAGGCGGACATGCCGGCAGCACCGAGAGGTTTGCACATTCGGAGCGCGAATTGGCCCGACGCCGTACGGCCAGCGACATTTCGTGTGACCGGACACGCTGGTATCAAGGCGGGGTTGCCAAATCCGAGACGAATGCTCACGGCACCGCCATTTTACGATGCACGGCGACTCCCGCTAGCCTCACCCCTGCGTTAAGAGACGATTGAGATAAGAGGCAACTTCACGAACACCCAACAGCCAAGCAACTAAGAAAACGCCAGCGCCAACTTCCCCAAGACTTCACAGCATGCTTTCTTTCTTTCCGATGCAGCAGTATAGTCCAAGCTTTGCGATCACACTATTGGCCGTAGAACCGGCATGAGAACGCATCACAGAGTGCACCCAGAGAATGTCACGAAAGACCAGAAGACTCGACCATCAACTAGGGTAGTGAGTTGAACTATGCGATTAGCTGCAAGAGCTTGAGAGGTAAGAGGATCAGTTTGAGCGCCACAAGCCGCATTGCCAATGTACAGGGGGCACAACTCAGGCACTTTTTGACCCCACGCATGCAAGGTTGACCCCGGCCTAGACGTGAGCCTCACCAAAAGCGGCCGAGTGCAACACCCTGTGGGCTACTGTGTTGACAAGAAACAGCATGCAGCATGATCTTTCATGTCTCTCAGTAGACGATCACCCGTTCCCCATGAGCTTCAGCTGGCAACTACCAAAGTGAGAACATCCGGGGCCTGGCTTCGGGCTGGCCTGCCAAGTGTTTGGGGTGGGTGGAGGTTTGAGGATAGCCTGGACGTGACACGCAAATTCACTGCATCATGCGGGGCTTGCAAGAGATCATGCCATGCTTGTGGAAGTCTGCAAAGGGTGGTGCGAAGGGGCTACAACCTAAAGACTACAACATCGAGGCTTTGAGGCAAGTGCAGGACTGTATCTTGGCCAATAGATCGCAAGTGTGATACATTAGCTCTTGGGCCCCGAGTTCGCAGCATGCCATGCGACCTCGCGACACCTAAGAGGCAAGCTCTCATCAACATCATCATATCATGCTATCCGAACATCCAAACAGCTCTATTAAAAACATTTCGCCGTGAAAAGAGATGCCCTCCACCCAATCGCGTACTTGCAATTCCAGGAAGCGGCTTTGTTTAGCTCTGCGAAAACAATTTAAGGGACATTGGCAACCAGGAACTGCTGTGACCGATTGCTAGTATAATGACCACGAGTGTCTTTGACTGCTGGATTATTGTTGTTCTGATACGTCGTTTATGCTCGCGCTCGTTGTTGTGGTCGTAGCAGCAATAGTCGTCGTAGCTGTCGTGGTGCAGGAGTAGTGGTAGTAGCAGTTGCCGTCGTCGAAATCGTTGTCTTGTGGGACGAGCCAAAGGTGAGTTTCTAGATGAAGCCCTAAAACCTAAGTCTGTGGTATGACATGTGGGAGGCCCTGTAGATCACTGACGAGGCCACATGAGCCTATCCTGCGAACTATGGACCGTCCTCGCCTGCATTGCCCGAGTTGCGAGAGTCTAACCCTTCCCAAATTCCCTGATGAATGCGGAATTCGGAATTGATCCTTGCGGACTGAAGAGCTGACAATCTGTCATGCGAGTTTGGATTCCTCTCTGTCCCCGGACAGCAATTGTGCTTTCGACTGTACCCTGCAACGCGGGCTTGTCAGGCAAAAAAACCCTAAACCCGACCAGCCTACCAGCCGATCAGCCAAACGGCTGATCAGCTGATGCGCCGGTTGGAAACCCTCCCCCCCTGTAAGTTTTATCTTCCAAGGCTCATGGACCGGACTGTGGCCCGGCGCCTGTTAGCCTCTTCGTCGCAGTCAGAACTTCCCTGAGCTTTTGACAGTTCTAGCGGGTTTAGGGTTTAGGGTGTGTATGAGCAGCACTGTGATTGCAGTTCTTGGGCATATGCAGAGGCTTGCAATCACGTGGTCTCTCTCCCTCTCCTTGTCTGTCTGTCTCTCTCGCTGACGGGTCTCACCTGCTCTCCTGTCTCGATTCGGTTACCTGATCGCTGAGTTGTTTGTATCTCTCGGTTCATCGATTGGCTGCCTGCTTTTTCCCAGAAAACTGGGTCTTCAAGCCAGTCCTGGTTACCTGACCACTATACAGTGCCGGTCAAATCCTTGTGCCCGCACGTCAAGCCCTGTCTCCTGGCGTGCCATTGTGGAGCTGCTCAGGGCCGAAGCCAACGCCACCATCTCCACCTGAGCCCAAGGCCTGCACATGAAACTCCATTTTTTGCGTTCACGGTCCAACCTCACGGATTTCTGTCTTGACGAGAGTGGCCAGAGCAGGGGCTCGAACTACTTTCACAAGCCAGCTCTAAATGGACGGGTCGCTTATGCTGTCGATGGTACAAGTGGACTGCTGTTTCTCCCTAGAGCACGATCGCTTGATGCCCTCGCATGTGCAAAGTACCAAGTGATCTCATGTTGCTCTATGAAGCTCAGAAGAACCTGGCAAGAAGGTGAAGCCTTCAGAAGCAAAGCCCGTTGGTGAAGCCAGTCGATGCCGTCTTCTGCTGCACTCGCCGCATCATATTTTGTTCAGAGCACGGGCCGCAGGTCCGCATTTACGAAAAATGCGGTTTCTGTGTTCAATTCGAGCAGGCAGCTGCCGGAGCAGATCCGTGGGCAGGACGCTGGGCAAGTTTGAGGAAAAGGAGTTTGATGTTGATGAACAGCGTGCGGTGTGCCAGGGTTTCTTGACAACCTGCTCCCACACGCCAGTACGAAAATTCAGTAACTCCACTAACCTGTGATAAAACCGAAACAGTTTCGGCGGCGATGGCCCGCAAGGCCCCTAAGGTCCCAAAGCTGTTGCTGTGCGGACAGAAGCAATGATAGATCCGAAGCTCAAAGCCACATTCCCCGCATTTGCGTCTGCAACTTCAATGCACTTGTGTCCCAGGCGGGAATGATCCTTGGGCACAAGCAAGAAGTCCGCAGACAACTCCGGCACCTCGGGAACAGCTGGATGTAAGCTGGCAGAATCCCTGCATTGAAGAGATGTGAACAACAGCCCTCAGCCAGCAGATCCTAGAATTAGAATGCATCCAGACGATGCACAGCTTGTGTTTCTGTCGCATGGAGTGTTGAGGCACCAGCGCCGAAGCAGACACAGCCCACAGTGCCTCCACCGAGGCCCTACTTCCTGCCTGCGCGCATCCCTCTTGCAGTTTCAATGTTTCTAGATGTCAATGTGGCATATGAAACGTACTGTATGTTCGTTTTGGCGAGCATGCTTCTACAACCACTGCCGCGCGATGTCTGACAAGTACCATGATGCACGACGCGACGGCGCGTGAGAATGCCCGCCAGGCTCCGTCGTCAACAAACGCCGCCCCCCGAAGCCTTCGATCCGAGCGTGATCGTCCGGCCTGAGGCGAGCGAGTTTCCATGCGTAAGTGTTGCTTGTTCTTGCAAGCACTGACAAATGAAACCAGGGGCATGGGAATGCTCCGCTGTGCAGAGATTTTCCCCGAAGTCCAGCCCAGTTGCAGAAGAGTGAGGCACGTGATAGGCGACAAAAGTTGGCCCCCGGCTTGGCCTACTGTTTATCAAGTCACGAACAGCAGTCGGAGACTTGTCAGCCCGGGCCATGACAGAGCTTGGCTGTGTTACCTCTTCACATGCAGGGGCCGCCGAGCGTGCCGTCAGCACCGGCCCGGGGCGCGGCAGTGGCACCAGAACAGGCGAGTGCGAGACAGCTGCCGGTCCCGGCCTGGGTTGAGCGGCAGGCGGCTGGGCAGGCGGCCCCAGTCCCTTCAAGCCGAGCCAGGGTTGTAGCTTTGGCAGAGGGGCAAAGGCATCCAGATGACACTTGGAAACTGGTGGGAATGGTTCGGCTGCACGCCTTTAATTATCCGCTCTAGATTCTGGGCCCAGCTGGCCAAATCATTGTAGAAGGAGGGTGAAAGGTTCATGGACGATGGGAAGGTTTGGGCTTCAGATACGCTTCAAGTGTCGCGACGAAAGTGTCAGAAACAAGGCCGGATTGGCAGAGTTCGGGACAGAACAGACAACCCAGATGTGGCTGCAAAACCTCTGCTCCAACCAACTGTACCAGACTGAACAAAGGGTAGGGCATGCGCAGCATGAAGAGTGGATTTGGGAAGATTGCACATCACTGCTCGGAAAGTCTCTGGGGCAGGCGCCGGCGACGGCACCTGCTCCTCAGCCGCGGCAATGGCTGCAGCAGGAGGCAAGATGTAATATAAGGAGTCTAAAACGCACATAATCAATGCACTTCAGGTTCCACGGACAGCGCGAAGTTTGAACTGATCGTTTTGGCTGGCTGGCGGAATCAGAGGAGTCTATTTTGATCTTCCAAGGCCACGCAAGCGTCCGCACCTGCCCCCGCTGCTGATGCCGGGCCGGGGCAATGGCTGCGGCAAGAGGCCGTCCTCGGGTCCCGGACAGAAGACTCTGAAAAACCCAACAAACTCAGAATTAGCTTGAGAAACGTCCCAGTGACACACTTGGCAGTGCTTTCTCTTGTTTGCAGGTTCAATAAGAAGATTGCACGTCACGGCTCTGTAAGACCCACTTGGAGTTCGCGGCGAACGCCCCAGCCCCGGAAACAACGTTCCAAGACCCGCAGAAGGTCCGGGTAGGCAAGAGCGCCTGCTGACAGACGTAAAGAACAACAACTAGGCAGGCCCGCCGCCGACAAAAGCTGGCATAACAGCAAGAGAGCGTGCCATCTTCGTGGAAGAGAAAACTGTACTTACTAAGCCAAACGAGCATCCTCGCCTCGGAACTGGGCTGTGCCCGGCCAAGAACTCCCCCCAAAAGCAAGTGACGTGACAGTATACCTTCGGACTGAGGATGTGAAGGCCAAAGCAGTGACCATAGCCTGCCTGAGACGAGGGAGCGTCACTGCAATGTTCTTGCACCATCACTAAACAGGAAAATCTAAATAGACAGCTGCTGCACTGCACGTTGCTTTCATATGTAGTGGAGGTCCCGCAAGCCTCAACGCCGGCACCTGCTGCTCAGCCGAGACAGCGGCAGCCACAAGAGGCAAGATCTCAAGTAGACGAGGTTGAAGCAACTGACCGTTTACAATTGCACTCGCCTCTCTTGAAAAGAAACTAACAGTGGCGATGCATGTTTGTGTTGCCGGCATGAAGAGTGGGATTTGGGAAGATTGCACATCACTGCTCGGAAAGTCTCTGGGGCAGGCGCCGGCGACGGCACCTGCTCCTCAGCCGCGGCAATGGCTGCAGCAGGAGGCAAGATGTAATGGAAGGAGTCGAAAACGCACATAATCAATGCACTTCAGGTTCCACGGACAGCGCGAAGTTTGAACTGATCGTTTTGGCTGGCTGGCGGAATCAGAGGATTCTATTTTGATCTTCCAAGGCCACGCAAGCGTCCGCACCTGCCCCCGCTGCTGATGCCGGGCCGGGGCAATGGCTGCGGCAAGAGGCCGTCCTCGGGTCCCGGACAGAAGACTCTGAAAAACCCAACAAACTCAGAATTAGCTTGAGAAACGTCCCAGTGATGCCATCATAGGCCGGGGCAGCGGGAGTTTGGCAAAAAGCTGAACCGTTCGCCGCAGTCCTTTTGCTTCTGAGGGGGCCCCAGCATTCCTAGCTTTGTGTTTTTGGTGGGGGTTTTGGACATCAGCGATCATATCCAAAAGGGGCGCCACAGCCAGAAGAACAACAACACCAACAAGAGCTGCTTTTGCAATAAGGTCGACATGAAGTATGCAAACAGCATGGCGACAGCAAGGAGAACTAAAGCCAGGGATACTAGCAGTACTCCTACTTAGTAGCGTTGAGTATGAGAGTAGGGAGTCCATCACTAGAAGTTCCCGCGCCGGCCCTTCCCGCTTGCATAGCTTTCGTTAGCCTTCAGTTTGCCTTCAAGTTTAACACTTGGCAGGCAACAGAGAAGCACGGACGTCTGCCGCACAAGCCGTAAGCAGTGAGCGTTCCCCGCATCTGTCGCCTGCAGCATGGAGGAAGGGCAGGGCCCCGAAGAAACCTTTTTCCCACTTGCAGGTTCTGCGAGCCCCAGCATTAGCTGGAGCTTGGTAATAACACTCACTTGTCTCGATCTCGCACAAGGCTGTGCAAATGCTGCCGTTACGTGTCCGCGTTGCAGTCCAATAACCAGGACCCAGAAGCGCTTTGGAGCCTCTTCCTCCGGTCTGGACCTCTCGCAGGCTCCGCCGGCGCCAGTGCCGGAACCTGCTGCTAAGCCGAGACAACAGCAGCCAGAAGAGGCAAAATCTCAGGTACGCAGATTGGACGTTGGCAGCTACACTCACCCCTTTAGAGCTAGCAGCATGTTTGCGCAAGTATGCCAGCCATGTTTGTGCATGTTGCATGCATCCTTCAAGGCCTCTCCCTCCAAAATGTGTACAGTAGTTGCGCAGACTCATAAGAAAGGGCAGGGACCCAAACGACTGATACATTCGGTTGAGAGGATCACACACGGCTTGCAAAAACCACCGGGTCACTTGGAGGCTCCGCCACCAAGGCCGGCACCGGCTGCCCAGGAGGCAAGATCTGAAGCAAGCCTTTAATTCTTCAAAAGCCCTACCCTCAAGCCCTTAAGCTCTGCTCTATACCTGCATACCCTATTAGGCCGACTGCTGCTTCAGAAAATAGTCGAGTTGGCGTGGTTGGACACAGAGACCTCGTCTGGCGGAGTCCGAGTTGCGAGAGCCTAATTAGGCCTTGCCCTAGCCCTTCCTGACCGGCACGAGATGGGTGCGGCCACAATATAGTCTTGTTCTGCAGCGATTTTGATTGCTCGACAGCCTTGGACGCTTAGGGTTGGGCCCTGGTTATTCCGTGCAATCCAACCGCTACTCCGAATGCAAGCCTGAGTGACATGATGCTATCAAGTGCAGAGGAGCACGCATGAGCTGCAAGGTCCCGACAGTGCAGTCGGCAGAGACAAGTTCTGCAGCAGGACCAGCACCAGGCCCGTGGCTGATTCAGCATGGTGAGCGATGTGCGTGCGTGAAGGATGGGCGCCATGATCCTGTCGTGAAGAGCTGCAGCAGAAGCACAAACAGCACACATGAAATGGTTAGCACAAGACTGCTGCTACCCATGGGAATAGGTAGGTACAGGAAACCGAAGTCACAGCCAGAGCCGGAATCCGTGGCTCATGAATGGACACACCTGTCACCACCCACGGTGCCCATGTTATCCTCCGTGCGACGGCCAGGCAAGCCGCTGCTTGCCGTCCCGGAGACCGGATTCCAGGATGTGAACCTCGCCCAGGTGCCATCGGCTTGACTTGCAAAGTTTCCTCAACTTCATGATGGCGATGATGGTGACGTCGATGGCGATGGTGCTCTCGGACGGCTAGCAGGGCGAAGAAGAGAAGGACCAGAGCAGCAGCTGCAGCATCAGCAGCAGGAACAACACTTGCGCACGCTCCGCTTGTGAAACGGGTCAGACAGGTACCATTTGTGTGACCAGCTCACTGGTTGATCAGCGCATCCATGCCAGTGAGAAATCAAGGTGCATGCTACCACCGAATTACCAAAAAATGAGTAAGATTCCTTGCTGCGAGCGCTTGTTGCGCAAGCGGTGCACTGGAGAGAAAGTCCTGGGAATCCAATGTCCATAAGATAAGAAAAGGGAATGTGCTACTTGAATCGTGCCGGGCTTTCACCACGAAAAGGCTAAGTCGAGACCAGGCTTCCGCAATGATGATGTACATATCCTCTTGGCATGGACAGTGAAGAGCACAGGTCAGCCACTCAGGATGAAAATTTGGAAGCATAGAACCAGGCAGGCCAGAAGCAACGGTGCACAGACAAGAAGCCTGATGCTGACGACGAAATGCTGTCGATATGAGGCATACAGTAGCATTCTTGATTATATGGGGGAGGAAGATGCAGCTCGTCCGTGCTATTGTGCACAGTAGAACTCACTTGTATGCATCTGCTGCTGAATTCATGCCTTGAAGGTGGTTCTCAATTTCATGATGGTATGTGAGCCTGAAACGGATTTTAGGTTCAAGTGTATGCGATGCCATCACTTGTTCTCGCAACATCCTGAGGCAAAAAGGCCCTTCAAAACAGTCCACACCTTCGCCATCACTGTCTTCCGTGCGACAGCAGAGCAGAGGCCTGAAGTTAACCAGAGCCGGATGCTCTGTACCGACATTACCGACTGAACAGCTTTTACCGACCAGGCTCGGAATCCGTGTGGAGAACGTCCGCGGTGCAGGTCACCGGGTCACCCTCGCTTCACCAGGGCGAGATGGGTAGTTCTCTAGGCTCCTTTTAAGGTGCCCAAGATAATACGGCCACAGAGTTCCTGGAAACTGAGACTCTATCCGCCCTGCCTACATTTCTTCACTCGAAGAGATCTGGTACTTCTCCAAATCGGGGCCGCTTTCGTCGCGCCTTTGTTAAGGGTCAGCTTGAGGCTAGTTGAATTTGGCCCGGACCCCGGTCTCTAGACTCTAGTCACTAGTCACAGTCACAGGTGGAGGAGGGATCCTCGTTTCCAGGATTTGCCCCTGAACAGGCTATGACTCTGCAGCCCGCGTGCACAGGATCTTCGAGGGCGGAATGCTCCTGGCCTAACGTAGTCTGAAGGCAGCCTTTTCGAGTTGGGCGAAGAACATGCCTGAGCCTCCATGGTTTGAGGATCGACAAGTGGAATTCCACGCAAATCGCCAACGGCCTCCCGACATGGGTAGTGCGAGTTGACGATCCTTGGCCAAAGCAGGCGGCATGAATCAACCGTGTGGTGGAACTCAATAGTTGATCCAGGATGTCATCGTCGGCCTGAACGGACGACACGAGTTCACACCAACAAGTGCGGAGGCCACTGTAAACCCGTGATGTTCCAAGCTTGCTAGCAGTATTTCTGACGGTCGCCCTGGGATTGTACGTACAGCCCGCGTGCGTTAGGTTCTGTAGGACTAGCTGTACTGTCCGCCGTAGTTAGGGCTCAAGGTAGGGCTGTATAGTGTACAGAGCGCAAGCGCTTTCCGGGGGCAACCATGAGGGGTTTCCTCCACCTCGCGGTGGTCATGGCTGCAAACTTCACTGCTCAGCCCGATGCCGACGACTCTTGGATAAAAATCCGCTTCTGGCCCGGGAGTTACGCCGAGCCGGAACCCACTCCCGAACCCATCGTTGAGGAAGACCGTGGCGTGGGATCGCGCCCGGTTATTGAATTCCTCCGAGATTGGCTGGGAGGGTGGACTCTCCTTGAGCCGGAGCCCAACCCGGCTGGAGTACCCTCAGGGGAGGGTCATTCCGAAAAGTCGGA